AAGGCCTTCCAGAAGGAAGGGCCACAGCAGACACCCCCTGCCTGTGGCAGGCCTCCCGCAGCGTGGGCCGCCCTCGGCCAGCGCCCGCATGGGGCGGAAGCGGCGGGAGGCCTGACTCACCCCGTCCTCAGCCAGTCTGATGGCGGGTAGGCAGCCTGCGCCCGATGAGTCACCGAGAGCTCGGAGTGCTATTCTGAGCTCTGCCAAGGACACGGATGCTCTTGTTGGCAGCCTGGCACCCTTCACAGTTTCTCTGTTCTAGTCTTCCTGTCAGGAGACAAGTGGAATGGAGTATTTGAGGTTTTCTAGCCCAGGATAGGAACCATGTAACTCTCTTCTTGCTGGCTCCCTCTCGGTTCCTGGAAATCACTGCGGGAAACTGAAACTGAGGGCCAGCTCCCTCCAGGCCCAGCTGCAGCGGCCTTGCTAAGCGGCCGTGGCAGGGCAGGGCAGGGCAGGGCAGGGCAGGGCAGGGGAGGGCAGGGCATACCTTGTGCAACTTCCCAAATGAATCACCTGGCTACTTATTTTGATGGAAAGCACCCAAGAAGTATGTACGTTTAAGTTTCAGATCCTACAAGGAAAAGACTGGCACCAGAGCCCTGCGTAAGTGTGTGGCAGTTGGGCTTGTCGCCATCTGTCCAGCTCCCATGAAGCCCATGATGATGTACAGCCATGCAAGCTGGGTAGAGTTAAATGCTCTGTGGACCGTATCAACCAGGCATTTAAATAAGAACGTGTCTTTGTAGCCTGGCCAGGGTGGCTCCGCTGGTTGAGTGTGGCCCTGTGCATTGAAGGGTCGCTGGTTGAGTGTGGCCCTGTGCATTGAAGGGTCGCTGGTTGAGTGTGGCCCTGTGCATTGAAGGGTCGCTGGTTGAGTGTGGCCCTGTGCATTGAAGGGTCGTTGGTTGAGTGTGGCCCTGTGCATTGAAGGGTCGCTGGTTGAGTGTGGTCCTGTGTATTGAAGGGTCGCTGGTTGAGTGTGACCCTGTGCATTGAAGGGTCGCTGGTTGAGTGTGGCCCTGTGCATTGAAGGGTCGCTGGTTGAGTGTGGCCCTGTGCATTGAAGGGTCGCTGGTTGAGTGTGGCCCTGTGCATTGAAGGGTCGCTGGTTGATTCCTGGTTGGGGCACTTGCCTGGGTTTTGGGTTCAGTCCCCAGTCAGGGCATATGCAAAAGGCAACCAACTGCCCTGGCTGGTTTGGCTCAGCAGTTAGTCAGCCTGTGGACTGAAGGGTCTGGGGTTTGATTCCAGGTCAAGGGCATGTACCACAGTTGCAAGTTTGATCCCCAGTCCTGGTTGGGGTCATGCAGGAGGCAACCAGTTGATGTGTCTTGGTCACACTGCTGTTTCTCTCTCTCTCTCTCTCTCCCCCCCTCCCCCGCACCCCACTCTGTCTAATAATCAATGGGAAAATATCCCTGGGTGAGGATTAACAACAATAACAAAAAAGCAACCAATCCACATTTCTGTCTCATCAATATTTCTTTCTTTCTCTATTTCTTTCTCTCTCTCTCTCTCCCTACCCCCTTCCTCTCTCTAAGCATGTCCTCAGGTGAGGATTAAAAATGAAAATACTGCCCAGCTGATGTGGCTCAATGGTTGAGCACTGGCCCATGCACCAAGAGGTCGTCAGTTCGATTCCTGGTCAGGGCACATGCCCAGGTTGTGGGCCTGATCCCCAGTGAGGGGCATGCGGGCGGTAGCCAATCGATGTTCTCTCTCATCGATGTTTCTGTCTCTTCCTCTCCCTCTAAAATCAATAAAGAAAAAAATATATATTTAAAAAAAACAACAGCATACTTTTTTTAAAAAAAGAAGAAACTACAACTACTAATAAAGGAAATAAATGAATAGATAAGAACGTGCCTTAGCAATAGCTCCACACCACTCTGCTAAATTACGAGAGGGTCCACAGGAGAAAGTCAGCTGTCCTTTGTCCTCCCACTGCCTCCAGACCCTTGAGGATGCAAACCTGGAAAAGCAAAGCTCATGCTTCAGAAAGATGAGAAACCTAATAAATTCCATTGACAAATCGTTCTTGACTATGAGGAAGGCACTTTGGGGTCACAGAGGTGACGGAGGCACCCTCAAGGAGATTAGATCTAGCAGAAGAGATAAGGTATGTACACAACTCGCTGTATATCGGCACGACGTCCTACAGGACAGGAGAAGAAGTATCTGGCTTGATGAAGGTCAGGCAGGATTCACGTGCCTTGGAGAACGAGTCGAGTTTCCACAGGGAAGACACAAGGTGGTACCAAAGACACAGGAAACTGTCTCGTTTTTTCCTACAAGGAGGTGGGGAGACAAACCGGACAGGCACCTTGGCTTGGCCATGCAGTGCCTTAAACGACAGCGTATAAGCGTGGGCTTGATCCGTGTGTGGAGAACTCACTGAAGACCCTCAGGGGGAGGGGCAGGACCAAATCGTCTCCACGAGCTCAGCTGCCTGCAGGATGGATGGAAAGGGAAAGAAGTCGCGGGGCGAGAGCGCGTGTCTGTGGCAGACAGGAGTGCTGAGCCCGAGCAGAGGCAGTCGTGGTGGGGACAGGAAAGGCGTGGACAAGGTTATGGACGGGACTAAACAGAGCCTGCGTTTTCACTGGATGTGAGGAAATGAGAGAAGGAGAGAGGCATCAAGACAACTGGAAACCTAGAAACCCCCAGAGATACATGTGTTGTTGTTGTTTTCAACGAGACAAAATGACTTCAAGCGGGCTTAGGCAATGAGTGCTCTTCGCAGGCTACGACATGCGGAGGAGGAAGAGATCTGGAGCTGGCTCTCCGTCGTGAGGACTGAGAGGCCACGGAGACGCCCAGAACAAGTGGAAAGTACTCGCGAGAGGGCAGGGCGAGAGAGATCTGAAAGTTACCCACGGGGGCAGAGGGTCTGGGACGCAGCGAGGGAAAGCATTCTGACGGCGGGACTCCCCGATGACCTGCATGGGGAGGAAGGAAGACAGAAACAAAATGGGGGAAGCAGGAACAACGGGCATTCATGGAGTCCTGTCGTCTTCTTGAGCTCGGAGACTTGCTCATACTGTCATCTGTGAGGTCTCCCTTCCACGTGACAGATGAGAGAGCTGCATCTCGTGCCAGTCCACCCAACAGCCCAGGTGCCCACGTCAGAAACCAGTCACTCTCTCCAAACCCATCCTTCTCACCTCTTCCAGCCCATGGCAATATGCCCTGTTACTTCCACCTTCGAGTCCCTAGACCCTAGTCCCTTCTTCCAACCTTACTTTTGGCCCTCAATTCTCCCCTGCTTTGGCAGTGGCTTCCTATCTCCAGGTCCCCCCTTCACAGTCTCACCCATCACCATCTAATCTCCTTGCCTACCACCCACGTGTTCTAGCACACATCCGGGCCTCACAAAGCCTGCAGAAGCTTGCAAGGCCCTTGGGAAGATGCTCCCTAACTCTAGGATGACCGCAGGCCCCTTACCCGCAAGCGTCCCACACTCAGCCCCACAGACTTACCTGCGACCACAGGACCCAGCCACCTTCCCATCTAGCGCTGTTCGAGAGCGCATCCAGCACCACGTCCTCAGGTTGTACCCCTCCTCCCAAGGGGCCCATCGCTGGACTCCTCCCTGCCTGCCATCCTCCCGCCACAGCACCTGTCACTCTACAGTATTTAATCCGTCCGACAGTCTCTCACTGATGATCAGTAGTTTGGGGACAGGGGTCGTCTTTCACACACTGGTGTCCACCCCAACACTTCCTGGTAGAATTCATAAAATCATCAATCCTAACTCAAGTCTGATTCTGAGGCTCACATTCCACTATACTATAAAGTCAGAGAGCAGAAAAAGAAACGGGATCGTGTAGGATGACGAAAAGGCAAGAGGCCACCTACGAAAACCCACAGCCAACACCATACTAAATGATGAAGCCCGGACGCTTTCTTCCTAAGATCAGGAGCAAGACAACAATGGCCACTCTCACCACTTCTATTCAACACTGTGCTGGAGGTTCCACCAGGGGAATTAATCAAGAAAACAAAATAATGGCATCCCAATGGGAAAGGACGAAGTGAACTCTCCCTACTCCCAGATGATGTACTCTCACACATAAAACCCCAAGGACGCCACAGAGCAGCCGTTCTCAACCTGTGAGTCGCGACCCCTTTGGGGGTCGAACGACCCTTTCACAGGGGTCACTGAAGACATAACAGTAGCAAAATTATAGTTATGAAGTAGCAACGAAAACAATTTTATGGTTAGGGGTCATCACAACATGAGGAACTGTATTAAAGGGTCGCGGCATCAGGAAGGTTGAGAACCGCTGTCGTAAAGGAATTATTAGAACAAAAACCAAATTCAGCTAGGTTGTAGAGTATAAGATCAATACACAAGAATCAATTTTATCTCTGTATAATAGCAATGAACAAGATTAAATGAAATCAAGCAAATAATTCCATTTACAATAGCATCGAAAACAAAATACTTAGGAATAACTGTAATGGAAGAAGTACAAGACTTGTACACCGAAAACTATGAAACACCATTTGAAAAAAATTATTATTTTTTATGTATTACAGATGTCTCTCCTTTCCCCCCATTGATACCCTCTTCCCTGCTCCCGCCCCCAGCCACCCCCTCACAGTACTGTAGTCTATGTCCATTGGTTATGCATATATGCATTGAAGTTCTTTGGTTTATCTCTTCCCCCACAACCCCCTCCTCTGAGGTTTGTCAGTCTGATCCCTACTTCTGTGTCTCTGGGTCTATTTTGAACAAAATTAAAGGAGACCTAAATAAGTGGAAAGACATCCCATATTCATGGACTGGAAGATCTAATATTGTTGAGCTGGCAATACTTTCCAAATTGATCAACAGAGTCAACACAATCTCTTTCAAAATGCCAGCTATGTTCGTTTTTCCTTTTAGCTAATTCTAAAATCCACGTGGAAACACAAGAGACCCAGAATCACCAAATCAAAACTGAAAAGAAAAGAACAAAGTTGGAGGACTCGTACTTTTTGTTGTTGTTTTTTTCTGCGCCTCAGGCGTGAACGAGCTCTGGCCACCAATACAGGCATCACCCGCGGGTGATGGTGCATCTGCTTTGCCCCTGGCTGACATAAGAGCAACACCACCAACCAGGTGTCTCCTTGCACGAGGCCAGGGGGTTCATACTTCTTGATTTCAAAACTTATTACAGAACGATAACAATCAAGACTGTGTGGTATTGGCGTAAGGGTAGACATATGTATATCCATGTGGACACACAGATCAATGGAATAGAACTGAGAGTTCAGAAACAAATCCTTACATTTATGGCCAATTGACCTTTGACAAGAATGCCAAGCCAATTCAAGAGGGCACTAAATGTCTTTTTGACAAATGATGCTGGGATGTCCACACGCAAAAGAATGAACTTGGACGCCTAGGTAATAGAATATACAAAGCTCAACTCAAGATGAATCATACACCCAAAGGTAAGGGCTAAAACAATAAAGCTCTTAGAAGAAACCTTAGGAGGCAATCTTCATGGCCTTGGACTAGACACAGATATCTTACAAAGTTCACATCGCACCACTTCACCTTTACAAGACCTACATGGGACCCGTTTTCGTTAACCGAAAGAAATCCAAACAGAAGGGGACCCTAGTACACTGCTGGTGGGAATGCAGACTGGTGCAGCCACTATGGAAAACAATGTGGTGTTACCTCAAAAAATTAAAAATTGAACTTCCATTTGACCCAGTGATTCTACTTCTAGGAATATACCCAAAGAAGCCTGAAACACCAATCAGAAAGAATATATGTACCCCCATGTTCATAGCAGAACTATTTACAATAGCTAAGATCTGGAAACAGCCCAAGTGTCCATCAGTAGAAGAATGGATAAAAAAGCTGTGGTACATATACACAATGGAGTACTATGCAGCGGTAAGAAAGAAAGATCTCTCATCCTTTGAGACTACATGGAGGGACCTGGAAAGTATCATCCTAAGTGAAACAAGCCAAACAGAGAAAGACAAGTATCATATGATCTCACTTATTTGTGGAATATAATGAACATAACAGTCTGAGAAATGGGGTAGTCCCAGAGACGTGGAAGTGGGGTACAGACTGACAATCCCCAGAAGAGGGGATGGTGGGAGAGATAAACCACAGAACTTATATGCATGTATGCATGAACAGTGGACATGGACAACAAACTGGGGACAGGGCAGGGAGGGAGGGGGAGGGGGGAATCAGTGGGGGGAAAAGGAGAAACATCTGTGACAAAAATTAATTAATAAACTCACACTTCTGATTTAAAAAAAAGAAATCCAAACAGGATTTTTGCTTTTATGAAAAAAGCTATTACCATACTAATGTCTTTCGTAAAAGCCAAGCAGCCGAACGTGAACTTAAGGAAAACAAGGGTTACCTGTATAAGCAAGAGACCTGAAAACATATATCCACACAAACATTTGTTCACAAATACTCACAGGAGCATTATCCATAATAGCCAAAAGGCGGGAATGACCCAGATGTCCACCAACTGATAAATGAATAAACCAAGTGTGGTGTACACATACGGTTCAGTCATAATAAGGAATGAAGAGCTGATACTTGTTGCTACAATATAAATGAGCTTTTGTCTCGATTGGACCTGCAGGATTTTAGTGTATGGAGGGGACTGAGTGATGCCACAGAGAGGTCGATGCCATTGAGTGGTGTGTATTACTTACAGCCCCTGGAGGAGGGCACGCCACCGCCGCGTGGGGCTGGGGAAGCTCCAGGCCTTCATCGGGAGGCAGAGGAGCCAGAGCCTGTGCTGTGTTTCTGCAGGAAAGGCAGGACAGGGTGAGCAGCTCAGAACCGGCTAGCCTGAATCATTCTGGCAGGCTTCCGGAAGGGGCTGTCCCTAGGTGTCTGGGACTGGCCTGGGGTTGGGTTAGCACAGGAGAAATATTGGCTGTGTGTGAGTTTGATAAAGAAAATGGTTGGTCAGGGTGTGGGCTCTGGACTAGGTCGTTTGCATGTGAAAAGTGTGCTCCAGGGTGAGCCCTTAGGTCTAAGAATTGGCTGGCCTGGGAGGGCAGTTTCTGCCCAATCAAGGAAGCCACATATGTTAGAGAATCAAGACAGAGAAAATTGCCCTGGCCGGTTTGGCTCAGCGGTTGGAGTGTCGGCCTGTGGTCCAGAGAGACCCAGGTTCGGTTCCCACTAAGGGCACGTACCTCAGTTGCAGTTTGTCCCTGGCCCTGGCTGGGTCCTGCAGAAAGCAGCCACTCGATGTGTCCCTTTCACATCAATGTTTCTCTCTCTTTCTTCCTCTCTCTCCCTCCCACTCTATCTGAACAAAAAATGAAAACATGTCCTCGGGTGGGGATAAAAAAAAAAGAATAGAGAAAATTACAAAAATATAATTAATGCCCTGGCCAGTGTGGCCCAGTTGGTTTAGTGTTGTCCCATGCACCAAGAGGTCATGAGTTTAATTCCCAGTCAGGGCACTTGCCTGGGTTGCAGGCTCAGTCCCCAACAGAGGGCTTGTAGGAGGCAGCCAATCGATGTTTCTCTCTCTCTCTCTCTCCCTCTCCCCCCCTTTCCTCTCTCTAAAATCAATAAAGACATATTAAAATATGTGTGTGTGTGTGTGTGATTAACACAGCCCTCCGATGAATGGATGCCAAATACAGAATCTAAGAAGAAAACCCAGTTTGAACAGCCTTGAAAATATTATGTTAAGTGAAAGAAGCCAATCACAAAAGACCACATATTGTATGATTCCATTTATATGAAATAGGCAAATCCACAGGCACAAGACGTAAACCAGTAGTTGCCTGGAGCTGGGGAGAGAGGAGAACGAGAGTGACTGCTGAGGGGTTTCTTTGGGGGGTGATGGAAATGTTCTCGAGAGAATAGGTGCAGAACTCTGTGACTATCCCTAAAACCATGGCACTCTTTTAACTGGGTGATTTGTATGCTATGTGCAAATTATATCTCAATAAAGGTGTTATTAAAAAAAAAAGAAGAAGCCCTGGTCGGTTTGGCTCAGTGGTTAGAGTGTCGGCCTGCGGTCCGGAGAGACCCGGGTTCAGTTCCCGCTAAGGGCATGTACTTCGGTTGCAGTTTGTCCCCGGCCCTGGTTGGTCGTGCGGGTGGCAGCCACTCGATGTGTCCCTTCACGTCGATGTTTCTCTCTCTCCCTTCCTCTCTCTCCCTCCCACTCTATCTGTACAAAAAATGGAAAAATGTCCTCGGGTGAGGATAAAAAAAAAAGACAAGGGAAGAGAGTGTTCAGTACAAACAACATCAGTGTGAGAGAAATGTCGCCAATGATTACGCTCAGATCTCTGGTCCCCCAGACTTTCTAACCAGAGGTGAGAATTCGTGCAAGCTCTCAGAATTAACCAGTAAACAAAAGAGTCACTTGTGATACTTGAGCAGGAGAATACCACCACAAGAACACCGTTTAGCAAGATTATTCTAGGGGTTGGGCATGGGGCAGAATGGATCAGGGCAAGACTAGAAGGAGACACAGCAAAAATAAGGCTGTTGGGAATCGCTCAGGTAGAGGAAGGGGCTTGGTAATTAAAGCAAGAGGTAAGTTGGAAAAGAATCAGCAACACCTGGACGCTGACTACAGGAGAGGGGGAAGGATGTGTCAAAGATGATCCTGTGAGCCTGGGGGGACAGTCTCTTTAACTGTCAGATGGTATTAGCACTGACAGGTCAGGAGAAACCAGAAAGTGTGAGAAATGTGGCAAAGTGGAGGACTCGTGGTCCAGTAGTAAGAGAGAGCTACTTAATGAGTCAGAATCTGAGTGTGCCTTGATGCCAAAGGTCACTCAAAAACATTTCAAGCAGCCCTGGCTGGTTTGGCTCAGCAGTTAGAGCACCTGCCTGTGTACCAAGGAGTCGCCGGTTCAATTCCAGTCAAGGGCATGTACCTCAGAATCGGTGTCTCTCTCTTACATCGATGTTTCTCTCTCCCTCCCCCCTTCCCACTCTATCTGAAGATAAATGGGAAAATATCCTTGGGTGAGAATTAAAAAAAAAAATTTTTGCTCTGGCCAGTTTGGCTCAGTGGTTAGAGTGTCGACCCACAGACCAATGGGTTCAATTCCGGTCAAGGGCATGTACCTCGGTTGTGGTTCATCCCCGGCCCTGGTCATGGTCATGCAGGAGCAGCCAGTCGATGTGTGTCTTTCACATCGACGTTTCTCTCTCTCTCTCTCCCCCTCCTTCCCATTCTATCTGATGACAAATAGAAAAATATCCTCGAGTGAAGATTAAAAAAAAAAAATTTCAGGCAGTTTATTAAATAAAGACCACTAAGAAAGTGACGTGGGCAGAGGGTTTGCAGGGCACTGGGGTGAGGAAATGCACGATTACATTGGGCTGCCGGCAGACATCGACCTCCGGGCGATTTGAGATGGGAAATGAGAACCAAACGGGCTGGAGAGAAATCTGTGGTAGTCGCCTGCAGGTCTTAGAATATGAAAGCGAACTTTCCGAAGGCAGCGTAGGAAGTAGAACAGAGGGAGTTAAACATTAACTAAGTTCTACCTTCCACCTACCAGCCATACTCTATGAGGGGATTTTTCCAAAATGATTACAAATAGCACTGCCTGGCCAGTGTGCCTCAGTGGATTGACCATCACCCCATGAACTGAGAAGTCTCAGTTCCATTCCCAGTCAAGGAACGTGTGCCGGTGGTGGGTTCGATCCCCGGTGGGGGGCGTGCAGGAGGCAGCCGATCGCTGTTTCTCTCTCATATCGATGTTTCTACCTCTCTCTAAAAAAATCAATAGAAGTATATTTAAAAAAAGAAAAGGCCCTGGTCAGTTTGGTTCAGTGGTTAGAACATAGGCCTGCGGACCAGAGTCCCGGGTTTGATTCTGGCCAAGGGCACGTACCTCGGTTGTGGTTCGTCCCCAGCCCTGGTCAGGTCGTGTGGGAAGCAGCCAGTCAACGTGTCTCTCTCGCGTCAATGTTTCTCTCTTGCTCTCTGCCCCCACTCTCCCTCCCTTCCGATCTGAAAGATCAATGGAAAAAATATCCTTAGCTGAGGATTAAAAAAAAGAAAGAAAAGAACATAGTACAGACTTTCTTTTTTCTTTTTATCCTCCCGAGGACTTTTTTTTTTTTTGCGTTTATCTTCAGATAGAGTGGGAGGGAGAGAGGGAGGG